TCCAGAAGTTGGAGCTTATTCACTAGTTCTGGCCACCGAATTTAATTCATTCAAGAAACCAAAATGCTTCTATTATATTCAAGAAGAATTTTGGTAAAAATTATAATTTTTCGGTTACCAGACAGTAAGCAATGACTAAACGTCAATTACTACTAATGAAATATACATTTTATTTTCTAGGAATGAAATTCAAGGGAAGATTGATCTACCTTTTAATTTTTATAACATGAGCTAATTCATTAGAAAACATGTAATTAAGGTGTCTAATTCATTGTCTTAATTCACAATACTATATGTAAGCAAGAATAGCGTAATATCTACTTGTGAAGAAATTGAAATGAATAAATTACTTTAATTACCAATCATTAAAATGTACTGTATGTTTAGTGCTAGTGATACTCTCGCCTGTGGGCATAGCATGGTATGACTATCCATTCCTTTTTGTATTCTACTATGCATACTTGATCTAATACGATACAAATACAAAATAGCTTCGGAATTCATTGATAATTATGATCGGAGTGCAATTACTATCAGAAATTAGATGATATTGTAGCTCATATGTCCCTTTCTGTTAATATAAAGTTGAGGGTGATTATAATAAAAGTTTTCTAACTTTCACTAGCGGTAAATGTTCTTATAAGTACGATGAATTTTTAATTGTAGTTCATTTGCGCAGATAATTTAGAAAACATTCAAATCATTATCAATTTTCTGTGATTTTAGCCTGTGGATACCGTATCTTTTGTAAATCTGATAAATTTTTAAGATATACTATCATCATCACAGATATAGAAGTTATAATGTATTAATGGGCGCGATTACAGATTCATTAATACGTTAAACACCAAAGAGGTGTAATCGTCGCATTCTATACAAAACCTTTTATGATATATTTTTCTTATTTCCCATTGCCAGAAACTAGTAGTATCTCTTCAAGCTATCTCATAAAATAATGCATGTACTCTCCACAAGCAATAATATAACTGATAATTTATATAATGGTTACGCTGCCAGTAATATACTTAGCTTATGATTTCTATTCTTTTCTCATAGTTAAACTAAATCAATATGTTATATGCGATTGTAGTAATACGTTGATACTTTTATTTACTTCTTTATTTACGGCCATGAGAAGCTAATAATAATAGCTTAATGGGCTTCGAACAATACCATTAAGATTTTTAATATTAATCTAAGTTGATAGTTTTATAGAATTAGCACTTTAAAATGGAGTAAAATTTCAAAATTAATGAAAAATTTTTACCATCTTTATCGTCTAATAGAAGATTAGATCAAGAAACATTTAGAAATATGATTGCCTAATCAAAAATTAGTTAAAAAAATAGTCAATAATTACACGATTTAGCAAAGAAAGGTTTTGGATAATTCGAATAATTATAATTATTTATACAGTGATAGTTGAAATGATTATAGGCCATTACGGCCGAGACTAAGCAGATGGATGATCATCGGATCATAAAATTCGTATAGAGAGTTCAAATCAAGGCATAAAACTCTAGACAGCTGTATAATGTCAATTTTACTATAGTGGTATGAACAACTTGGAAATAAATTAAGACATAATGGGAAAGTTGCCTCCTTGATATTTACTGACCACAAAGTCGACGCAATATCCATAATTCGTGTATTTGTACTTTTCATGTTAGAAGCTTTAAGAGTGCAGTATCAACTCAGATCGATGATGGACATGGTAAATTATTGGCTTAGAATAGATTAAATTTATAGTAACATTACAATCAAAGGCCTTGCTTACATCTTGAAATATTGTCAAAAATTACCTATTAAGCTTCTACGAAGTGACCTAAAATAATAGATGACTACTGCCTAGGCGAATTAGATAAAGATGCTAGTGATGTGTCTAATTTGAGTGGAGCAGTGTAGGTTTCGATAGTCAGTTCGTCTTGAAGAATAGTAGTTTTTTGTTGTAGCATATTGACTTGAGATTTCAATGAACGGATTGTATCTTCTAATTCCTGTAAGATTTTAACCGCTTTTAAAATCATATCAAATATCTACGATATTGACTGTTAAGAGAGCTATTAGTCTAACTGTAAGTTAATGCTGAGCTATTGCAGAAAATCGGATTCATTGTGTTAAAATCTTGATATTAAATATGCAATGTACGTCGTTTACCTCTTTCATTTCTGCCGATATCATGTCCTTGATCCTATCCTCATATTGTAATTGTAGCCTGGATATCTAATAACATGAAGAGTTAACCAGTTGGCAGAATATGTCAAAATCTGTATGTTCTTTCTCTGTGTATTAATTTACTCTAATTTGATCGTAATATAGTTCATAGTAAAACACATTGTAGTTTAGTACATGTAAAACTGTAAAATATGGAAAAATTGCAACAGAAATAAGATATACTGTTTAATTAGGCTAATTCTTCCTTACCTTTTCTTTAAATTCTCGTTCTTTCTGTAATGACTGCTTCTCAAGTAGTTGTATATTAGATTTCTGGTTATTAATTTCATCTTTAAGTGACTGAAATTAAGTAGATATCATAAAGAACTGCTGTTAGAGAATAGTCAGATTATTAACCATCTAAAACTGTAATAGTGTCTAATATTACACTTCTTGCATGTCTTACTTAGTAATAAATAAATTATAAGAACTCATAACTGACCTTGACAATACAGGAGTGGCGCTTTTTAACATCTTCGATATCTTTTTGATTATTACCATAAATTTCGGCTAGTTGTTTATTGTGTTCATTTTGTAGACTAATCCAGATTAAAAGTGTTTACTTTAATATTTTTCAATAGCCAAACTACAATAAATAGGCAACTGGATTACTAGAAAATTTATTTAAAAGATTAATAATTTTACTTTGAATTTTCTTCTTTCCATGCATAAGCTTGATTTTGCAACATTTCTATTTTCTATAATATTAGCGCAATTTATTAAAATCGATGGTTCTATTTAACACTTTTTTTAAATAACTACTTTTAGAAAGTGTTATACTACGTTAACGATAGCGTTTATGGGTGCCTTAATATTCTCCCAATTGATCATGCCCTAATTACTTTAAAACCGGTCAAAAGTAATATTCATGGCGAAGAAACTGCGGTTTTATTTGGTCAGACATGTGATTCCTTAGATTGTTTAATGAAAGAATATTTACTACCAAAGGTACTGAAATTTTTAGTAGTATAACAGACTCGTATATACAATAAAATTATACTTATGACCTAGCTTCAAAAGGAACAGATTGTGACTAACGCGTCGTAAACGATATCTTCTAATACCTATATATTCGTTATCTATCGCCTTTTGAAATTATAAATTCAGCTTAACGCTGGTGACTGGGTATACTTCGAAGGTAAATAACTATTAAAAATCCTGTACTATCAAACGATATCTACAATCTATACCCGTACTGAAGGTTTATCAAGAATGCTTTTATGTCATGTCCTACAAAGGTTTTGGTGATTATTAGTGACTAATTGCGATCATTCTCTCATATTATGCCTATATGTACTTGACCTTATTGGATTTACAGAAACTGGAGCTTATTCATTAAGCCTGGCATCCAAATTTAATTCATTCAAGAAGCCAAAATGTTACTATTACATTCAAGAGCATTTATGGTAAGGTCCATTAGCATGATGCTACTACTACTCATCTCTCCAATGACAAACACCTGCATTAATAAATACCTTGAATTAATAAGGTTTAAAATTTCATTTCTAGGAACGAAATTCAAGGAAAGGTTAATCTACCTTTTAACTTGATCACTAATTAAATTATAAGATAACGAATTGCTTTAGTTAATACTCTTATTTTGCCTTTATGGCTGAGTTTGCGTCCCTTTTTAGTTAATTCGCAATAGATTCAGTAAACTACACTATTTTTTACTCATCGCTGTTGATAATACTGTCAATGATATAAGCCCAGATAACACACCAATAAATATGGAATATTTATAGTATCTCACATTTTTATAATGATATTCCTGGAATGACTACTGTCCGAAAACGGATAAAGCAGCAATGCAATATGGATTGATTGTTAATTGTATTTTGTAGATCAACTTTGTGATTACTGACTGTGATAGATGATCATCGAAGCCGTTGATTGTCCACATAGACTGCAGTATGAATCAATCCTATAGACTGCAGCATGAATGAATCAATCCACTAATTAGGATATAATTTCTCTTCTACTCAAACTCTTTTCTTCTTCTTACATACTACTGGGATAGATGATCATCGAAGCCGTTGATTATACACATAGACTGCAGGATAAATGAATCCACTAATTAGGATATAATTTCTCTTCTACCCAAACTCTTTTCTTCTTCTTACATACTACTGGGATAGATGATCATCGAAGCCGTTGATTGTACACATAGACTGCAGTATGAATCAATCCTATAGACTGCAGCATGAATGAATCAATCCACTAATTAGGATATAATTTCTCTTCTACTCAAACTCTTTTCTTCTTCTTACATACTACTGGGATAGATGATCATCGAAGCCGTTGATTGTCCACATAGACTGCAGTATGAATCAATCCTATAGACTGCAGCATGAATGAATCAATCCACTAATTAGGATATAATTTCTCTTCTACTCAAACTCTTTTCTTCTTCTTACATACTACTGGGATAGATGATCATCGAAGCCGTTGATTATACACATAGACTGCAGTACGAATGAATCAATCCACTAATTAGGATATAATTTCTCTTCTACTCAAACTCTTTTCTTCTTCTTACATACTACTGGGATAGATGATCATCGAAGCCGTTGATTATACACATAGACTGCAGTACGAATGACAATCCACTAATTAGGATATAATTTCTCTTCTACTTAAACTCTTTTCTTCTTACATACTACTGGGATAGGTGATCATCGAAGCCGTTGATTATACACATAGACTGCAGTATGAATGAATCAATCCACTAATTAGGATATAATTTCTCTTCTACTCAAACTCTTTTCTTCTTACATACTACTGGGATAGATGATCATCGAAGCCGTTGATTATACACATAGACTGCAGTATGAATGAATCAATCCACTAATTAGGATATAATTTCTCTTCTACTCAAACTCTTTTCTTCTTCTTACGTACTACTGGGATAGATGATCATCGAAGCCGTTGATTGTACAAATAGACTGCAGTATGAATGAATCAATCCACTAATTATGATCTAAGTAGTGGACATCTTGAATCGCTGGATAATGATGATTGCGCCATATGCCCACCTGAGGGCGTTAAGATTACTGTTCCACTATTGCATGATGACAGTACTTTGTACTGTGTATTGCATCAGTGCGGGAGAAGAAGCTGCAAATCTATGTCAGTCTTTGTATGCGATCGACAGTAGCGTCCAAGCCAAATGGGGCTACAGTGTACAGTACATTGGTACTGAATTTCATTGTTGGTGTAGGAAAAGTTGGCACTGTAGTCGTTGGCGATAGGCAGGCTATATACGCGTATTGGCCCAATACCGGGTTTTGGCCGTAATATCCAATACCGGCAGTTTACCTTGGCGTTGAGCTCATCGTTGCAAGCTAGTCATCATTCTCCAATTGAAGTAGAATCATTTATTCTGTTGGTGGTTGGCTTGAACAGTATAGCAAAAATTCCGATAGTAGACGAGATTGATCGATTTCCAGGCCATCAAGAATTGCAATTAACGGCAGTGACGAGTCGTATAGTTGCAAAGAATTCAACAGTATTATCGTCCATTTTCCACTCTTTGCAAGTGGCCTTGGTGGGTGACGGATTCACTTTCAAACGTCGTCCAGTCTCAACATTAACTTCAAAATTGTAGGCATGACTTATATAGTAATCCTACGCTGACTTAATCATAATTCTACTAAAGATTGTAACCTTGATCTTAATGAATTGAAGGAGAAGAATAGTCGTGAATAGCATACAGTCCATGAAGGTCGTGAATATTTATTTCTCTTCAATTGACACACTATCAATCCATCTTTTCGTAGACTTTGACACGTGTAGCTCATCTATTCAATTCAATAACGCCATCAGGATGGAACGTGTGGAAATCGTACCTAATCTACCCCTACAGGAACTCATTGAAAAGAAAACGACAGCGATGGACCAACAGGTAAATTTATCATAATTGACCTGATAATATTAATGAACTGCATTTCATCTTCAATGAACTCGTACGGAAAATCATTTCATATTCCAAATGAAGAGTACAGTGTACTGTACTATCATAAAAGTGAATTGTTGCTATAAATTAATCGCTGCGTTTTGCAGACATCCTTCATCCATTCAAAATTGTTATTATTATTAGAGATATTTCAATTTTTTTCTTTTTTCTTACGATCATCATTACTCTTGTCAAGAGAAGAACAACTTTTTCGCATCTAGGTCTAAAAATATTTTTGAATTATTTTTCTCTACAATCATCATTACTCTTGTTATCAAAAGAAGAACAACATTTTCGCGTCTTATATAATTCCTACTTTTATTTTGCATCTACTTGTGCTCATAATATTTATATTTACTCCACCCTTTAATGAAAATGCTTCTAT